CCGCGGATCCTGTTCGTCACCTGATGCGGAGTTCGCGGACGGAAGCAAAATTTTGCGAACGGTGCTGTTCATGACCCGAATTGGTCGTGAACAGAAGCGTTCGCAACCCGAGGGACCACTGTACTTCTGTCTCACGACTTAGTTTATGGAATAGTGCCCTGTTCATGCTTAGCCCTCTTTTCTGATCCTAGGGGCAATTCACATTTATTTACTTATTTATTCATCTATCGTATTTGCACAGCCGCCCACCTCACAAGAAAGTGACTCTGGGCGGCATTCAGCACATTTTCCCTTGCAATAACCGAGGTGGGATCTTAGCAACTCAGAATAAGCTGATGCTTTAGAAACGGTACTTCTGTTGAGGCAGCTTAAAGTGTGGCACTTGCCTTTTTTTTGTAGCCATAATGCAGATGCATGTTCAGCTTGTGAACGGTTACTCCAGATGTTTTTCCCACATACTATGACCAAGCCGGATTCCCAGGCTAGTATTTTTTTTTTTTTAGATTTCAGTTTCCTAAATGCATCCCTCCACTCCTTCAAGATGGTTTTCAATTTTATTTCTTCTACAAGGCACTAGCTATCCCATCTGGTTTTGTATCCTTTGCAGATGGATTAAGTATCCCATCTTTCTCCTTGTCAAGCTGTCGATACCATGTTGAAGAGTTCAGGACCCACTTGGTCTTACTCCCGTTTGATGAGGCAAGACTGAGGAGCACTCCCCGAGTGCTAGTTTGAAGACAGGTATGGCTCCAACTAGCTCACTAACCAGAACAGTGTACTTCATCAAATGCTTTGACCAGATGAATAGCATAAGCCCCTTCCTCTGAACCCAGAATTGGTGGCCCTTACTCAGGATCACCCCACATGGCACTAGTGCTCCCTCCTTAGTTTATGCACCCTGCCCAACCCTCCCCTTTCAAAACACAACACCTGCTCCATCCAGCTTCTATCCCCCTCTCTGGGCCACCGACAGTCCCTTCCTCAGGCCTCCAACGCCTGCTGCTGTCGCCCAGGGTCTCCCAATGGGCCCTCGCCACACGATCTTCAGCTTGTTTTTGTTCCTGGGCAGCAAGGCCTCTTTCTCATCTTTTTCCACAAGCTGGAGGGTGCTTGAGAATTAAAAAAAGAGCAGGAGGCAGAGAATAGAAAGGGCATTTGGGTTCCTGAATGGGGAGCACTCCATGCTGCAACACTGTGGTGAAGATGCAGTCATTAGTCTGTATATAGCTTTATGCCTAAAAGTATGTTTACCAACCTGTTTTCCCGCTCATACATTTCCTTCGTAGCTGTTCGAAGCTGTTCTATTTCTTGGGATGTTTTCTGCCTTAATTGTTCCAATTCATCATGCAGTTTGTTTTCATACTCCATTTTGTAGTGATCTCTTAAAAATAATTTTTAAAATGTTAAGATAAAACGTGTTATCAAAATTCATTAATGCTCCTAGAATAACGCTTTCTGACTTTGATAAAACTCGCCCAATGGTTAAAAGATATTTGTTTTTTCTTGGTTTTTGTTTTAGCGTTTGTGATTTTATCACCGTTGTTAGCTGCCCAGAGCTGTGTTCCATAAGATGGGCAGCTGTATCAATCTTCTAAATAAATAAATGAATAAATTAATTTGCTTTGCCTCTGTTCTTCCTGAAATGATGTCAGCCACCCAAGCTTAGTATTAGTTAAAATGGCAGAAGAACTTACAGTTTCCTTAAAAAACAAGCAAGCGAACAAACTTGTTTCTAAGCTGTTACAAGCTGGACCAATACTCTTACTGTTTAAATTCCACACACGTTCCTTCTCAGATAAATGAGTATTAATGCTGCTAGCATTGCTTAACACTGTAGATAATCCTATAGTGATTCACTACTACTGAAGTAAAGAAATTACAGGATCACTGCATTTTAAACTATATATTTTTAAAATCAGGTTTGGTTACCTTACCAGTTTTTAAGAGACGACAGTAAACTACCTTGGATAATAAGTTTCAACCTAATTAACAGGCTTAATCCCTTCCTCTAGCAATAACAGAAAAATGATAATTGGACCAGTCAGTTCTTTTACACAAAAATGGAAACCTAGGGGCTCAGCCAGAAAGTAAACTTACACATATCCATTGTCTTTGAATAACTGAATATTGCCACTGTTTCCTCTAACTCGGCTTTCCCCAACCTCACTCCTTCCACCTAAGTGGGTCACCATGGCCCACCTCAGGTAGTCTTGAAAGTTGGAGCCCCAAACTCTTGGGAGCACAAAGGGCAGGGAAGGTTGGTCTAAGTAATTTCTCCTGAAACATTCTGATGGAATCGCCTCTCAGTGCTGAAAGGATGAATAAAGCTACGTACCTGGATGCGACATATTTCTCATACATTTCCTCTCTAGCCTTTTTGGCATCTTCCAGCTGAATGTGAAGCCTTTCAAGACGGTCTTCTTCATGAGCACAGCGGACGCTAAGCTCCATGTTTTGTCGGTTGAGGTAATCCTTATCCTTTTGCAGCAAAGTAACTGACTGCTGCAAAGCTGCAGCCTTTTCATAAAAAAAGAAAAAAAAAGGCAACAAAAATACCACAAATTGGATATCCTGTTTTCATGGCAGTTAGCTTATTTTGAGCTTAAAATGCAGCTGACATTGATACTGGATGCAACACAGTGTGGAGGGCAATAATTGGTTTATGCTATCAGCTGTCCCACTAACTTCCCCATTTTAATCTGAAATTCACTGGAATGGCAACATGGCCTAATCGTGATTGCTGCTCGTCAAAGGCCCTATATCTCCAAGACTGGAATTTCAGAATTATGGACACTTGATGTATGGGGCAGGGAGCCCAAAGAATTATACAATGCCGGAAGGCTACATCTGCACGTGATATGCAACAGTGGCTTGGCAACATCTAAATCAGGTTCTTTATTTTGACAACAGGGGAAGAAAGAGGACATTTGAGTAATCTCATCAAATTTGCAGGACTTTTATGATACAAGTTTCCAGGCAATTTTTTTTCCTTTCCTTTATATGTGGACCTAATCACTCTTTTAATTCCTTACTCAGTTGGTAGTTTTTAAATATATGACTGATATCTATGAAACGTATGCATCCTTTTCACTATTAATACTATTATAATACTATTAGTATTACTGCTATTATTTGTGCTAGTATAACAAAGAAAAAAGTAAGACAGAAGCATTGTACGTAAAAGAGGGAATCAATATTGATCAGTATCGAGATGGGATAATCAGCAGGCGAGTCACCTTCCGCTAGACCTTAAACTGGAAAGTGATGGGCAGAGGAGGGAGGTGGGGGTCACCAATTCCTCCCTGACAAACAGCTCTCCTATGGAGAGTCAACCAAATGGAGGGCTCTAGTTGTATTCCAAAGTACAACTGTAATAAATGATCTGCGTGGGCATTTAAAAAAATACATTAAAAAAGTGCCTTCTTCTGCCACCTTTGGTATCTTTCTCAATGAACATTTAAAGACATGCTAAATGAGCTATGAACATCTCACCTCTTTGGATAAGTCATTCCTTTCTGCAGTTACGGCTTTATGTGAAACTTCTAGTATTTCATATTTTCTTCGGAGCTCTGAAAATTCATGTTCAAACGTATCACGCTCACTGTTGAGAGAAAAACACACTAGTGTATAATCGGAAGACTACAAAACCTGAACTTTCAACTTTCCAGTTCTTGTGCAATCTCTTCATGTGCAAATTTAACACTCACTGCTTTTCAGATATTCTTGTTACCAAAGGAGGATATATTAGGAGTATCACTTCGGTTCAGTCCAAGAATAACATCCAAATTTGCTCTAGTTGCAGTATTTGAGTTTTTCCAACATACTTTCTGAAAACCTGAGCTAACTAGAACCAAGATAACAAGATTTCCCAAGATCACCCATACATTATTTAAACTTTTTGTTTCAGCATAATTTCACCGTGGAAATATTATGCTTATTGCAATCCTACACAAAAATACAGTAGGGAAAATTTTCTGTTGACCTGCTAGTTGTCATCTGCTAGGGAAGATTCTGGTGTGAATTTGACAAGCCTTCAAACGTCCACTTTTTAAAATGCTTGATTCAAAATACAAGTATAAATCTTGCAGGAAAAATGAAGGAAGTAGACCATCATGGAGCTCAATCCATCTTGTGATGGAAATTCCCTTCAACAACATTCTCAGCTGGTGGCTGTGTAGCCTCTGCTTAAAAGCCGCTAAGAAAAGGAAGAGTCCATCATGTTGTGAGGCAACCTGTTCTACCTTTTAGCAACCCATAAGACCTGGAAGGTCTTTTTAACCTTAATTGTTATTACACAAATCGAGATATTGTTACCCTCTGGGAAGAGGTTCCACTGTATTCGATGTAGGACAGCCAGATTGAGTAACAGTTTTGTTTCCCAGGCTATTAGACTTTTGAATGCTCGTTAAATGTTTTTTTGTTTTTATAAAATGCAAAATGTACTCTGCTGCCAGATGGTAAAAATGGATATTGTTACCCTCTGGGAAGAGGTTCCACTGTATTCGATGTAGGACAGCCAGATTGAGTAACAGTTTTGTTTCCCAGGCTATTAGACTTTTGAATGCTCGTTAAATGTTTTTTTGTTTTTATAAAATGCAAAATGTACTCTGCTGCCAGATGGTAAAAATGTATATTGTATAGTACCATGGTATTTTAAATTGTATTTAGTCATGTCAAATTGGGAGTCAATTGCGATGGAATTTCATTTTATTATGCACTTGGTGTGTAGTGTATGGTGAAATGATAATAAAGCTATTCTATTCTATGCTATGCTATGCTATGCTATGCAATGCAGTTTTAATCTGTTAAAAGGCAGATACTTGGTCAAATGAAGTTACAGTAGATAGTTCTGGATCTTAAAAGGGACAAAGGGTATGAACAGCATTATCTGATGCTGCAAAGAGCATGAAAGTTCTGTCTGTGATGACAGGTGATCAAACTTACCTTTTTATTTTATCGTAGTTCTCCTGTCTATAGTCTCCTTGCTGAACCATTTGTTTTGTGTCAGCTAGTTCAATTGTTAAGCGCTGGCATCGCACTTCAAACTCTGACCGATTTTTTCTTTCCATTTCATAACTCTGGGGAAAAAAAGGCCTTCACATTTAAAGCCCCAAATTGTGTTAGAGAAGTTTGTTTTCCTTTTTTTTTTCCTTGAGAAAACTGGGAAATAAATATGAACCTGAAACCTTTCTAATCTTTGGAGTAAAGAAGAATGTATGAATGTAAGAACCTGATCGGCAAGTTCAAAGTAAGCAAATTAGCACTCAGAAGTAAAGGAGGTTATTTTAAGGATGGTGGGAAAGACCTTTCAATCGTACAAAGAGCAGCAAGAGAGAACAACTTCAGCTTTATGAAGAAGTACTTCCTTTTGTTAGATGTGAAGACCTGGGCCTGTCCAGGAAGTCAAAGTTAACTCACTTTATTTCAGTCTAGTCATTGACTAGACTCATGTGGCAGAATAAAATTAATCAAATAAGATTAATGTGATATAACAGGGCTAAGATAAATTGAAAAATATAATCAAATCAAACTGATGGATCTCGCCAGCTATTAAACAGAATTTGGCGACATTTTAAGAGAGTCCTTCACTCTGATTAGGTAGGAGGTAACTAAGGTAAGAAGAGTTGGTGCGACCTGAAACCAAAGTCAGGCTGGTCTTGAGAGCATCTCTACCTTTACCTTCATTCAGGATACTTAAAAAGATGGCATTTGAGGAACCCTGAATTATTCCCAAGAGTTCCACAACTTGAGCCTTTTACTTTACACTCAAGCCCCCCTAAAAATGCATCTTCTTACATTCTTAATTCTCTCCAAATTACCCTCTTTGTATGTCAACAGGAGAGACAAGAATCTTCCCTGAAGCCCACTGACCTGTTACGACCTACATTTGTTCAGTCAGAGAGCCTACTGAGGAAATTCGTACTGTACTGCCAAACTTCTTTACAGTAGAATCAAGTGATATTGGAAAGGCGAGAGAAACTTTTAGCATTTAGCAATAGGAAGCACCCTGTTTCAATCATTCCCTTCCAAAAACTGGCCTAGGATTCTCTTTTTGATGTGCAATTCTGGCCTCTGCTAGTTAAAACCCTCTTAGTAAGCATCTAGTATAATTATTAAAAACTGCACATAAGCTTTTCCAGAAGCAGCAGCAGCAGTCCAAAATACATATCAGCAAAACACATGAAACATCTAGCAAGTATTTATAATAATTATAGCTATTTCAACTTTGTAGAGAATTAAATGCCAGAATCTTTCCCAGCAGAAGTGCCAGAATTTTATACTTATGTCAGAGAACTGAGTTTTTGTTTCAGTTATGGATGGGGCTAAAGAGATTGAGATATCCTGGAGAGAGCCACTGAATGTCAGTCCTGCAGTTCTCTTAACAGGGTCAGAGAGACCCCCGCCCCCCGCAACAACCCAGCAAAAGAAGCTGAGCTACGTGAAAGTGCATTGGAGGCAATTCTCAGCCTTCACACGACCAGAATTAGGAGCAATTCCACTAACGTCCGGCCAAGAGGCACGAGGTGGAAGGCTGTCCTTTGGCTAGAAACCCAAACAGTTTGAATGTTTTGCAGACTGAGGGGTGAGGCTTATCCGCATCTGTGATCCCCTTTAGTCTCTGGAGTCAAGAAGACCTCTCTAGACCCTGGAGACTGTGCGACCGATGAGGAGATGCTGACACCAAGTGGTAAAAGAAGGCGAAGGGGCCGTCGGAGGAATCTCAGCACTGTGATCTAAAGCGCTTCTTTCACTGGGGCCTTCTCACCAATGAAATTCAAACCGTCAGCTTAGAATCACCCATTGTTTCAGAACCCAGCTTCTACATTAACTAGAGGTTGCAAAAGCTCACTTCCCCAAGTTTGCATTTTCTTCCTCTGGACAATGAATAGAAAGGGGAGGAGGGGCTGTGTGTAACTTGACAGTTGCTCCTTCGTTTGAACTGGACAGGACATGGGGGCATGATACAAAAATGGAAAAGGTAGCAGTCAAACAAAAAACAGGGAGAGCTTCAATTGCACTGTCGCATCCACCATCTTGATTTTTTTTTTAACCACACCCCGTGTCCCCCCCCCGCCCCCGGTAGCAGTAATCCCAACGTTTCAATGCCTTTCTGGGACTGCAGCCCTCAGGTTAGCCCTGACGCCAGAAATCACATCAGCAGACTAAATGACCAGTTAGGAAAACAGACGTGGGAACGGATGCTGCCCAGTGAGCTGAAACATCCTCCAAAGGAACGTTTGGAAGGAAAGACGGAAACGCATACCTCCAACAAGTGCTTCAGCTGAGACTTGTACTCATTCAGTTCTTCACAGGCCGCGTCCTTCTTGACTTGCAGTTCACTTAGCTCGTTTTTCAAGGGATGCACTGCTTCATAAAATCTAATCTGGAGGCACAATGCAATTGCACACCATTATCTTTCAAAGTAAGTGGAAGAATGATGAATATTTTATATCTTTCTGTTCTCCAGGCTGCCAGGCAGGAATTTGGCTTTTAGAATTCTGTGAAAAGCACTTAAAATAAACACAGCACTATTCCAAGAATGGGAAACTGTTTTTCTGTCAAGACCCACATCCCCTTGAGGACGATCTGCTGGAAGCTGCACCATCCCTGGCTTAGCCCCTCTTCTTCCCCACGCAGCACATTCAGGGGGAGGAAGGGAGGCTGGACCCCACAGCTTGCAAAGACTTTTGAAAGAAGGCAGCAGCCACAGGTTACCCACCCCTGCAAATCTGGAGCAAAAAAAAAAAAGTCCTGTTGAGAAGCAACAGCCCGTATCATAGTGATGCTAGTATAACAAAGATCGATCACGTTGCAGACATTCTATTCATAGTTTATAGGTAGTCTACAGAACATGTTTGGCACTTAATGGGCTACTTCATTTGCCCAACCTCATCGTTTCTGAGCGTGAAACTCTAGGGAAGCTAGAGGTGCTCCCGGGGAAGAGACAGTGAATTCCAGCCCTACACAGCCCTGGAGAAAGCACCACTGGACTTCAAGCCACCTGGGCCTGACTCTGACTGCCAGCAAGACCACAGCCACTGAAGCCAGCAGAAAAATCTTTTGTCTGGAAGAGCCTTTCCACGGGCTAGACTTGATGGGCTATGCCATCTGTGGTGCTGGAGGGCAGGTACTACAACACCTGCTGGAAGACCGCCTCTGCCCCGGTCAGTTCTGCCTGCTTTCCTGCAGGGTCCCTGCCTTTGTCTGGACACTGTTCGCTGCTTGGCTCAGGAAAACCTAGGCTGCTTCTGTTGGCAGTCTTTTCTTTGGAAATAAGAAGAAAGGTTGCTAAATTCTGTTCAGTGCACAAAGGACCTGGGTCTAATGCTCAGATGGTTAACTTAAAATGTATATGGCTATTTGTCACTCTATTAATTGTTGTGTCATTTAATCACGAGCATTCTTTTACATTTATTTTTATCTTTTAATGGTTTGCATCTCTGGCTGTAAATAAATTTTAAAAAGTCTGAAACACATGCTTGGATTCAGAGTAAGAATCTGTTACAAGCTATTGGTAAGACAGGAATCGCCGTGAGCACCAGAACCATACCAATGACTAGGATCAAACATCAGCATTGTCCCTGTGCTGGACCTTGGTGCCTTAACAAGGAAGATGCAGGTCTCCTCCCCTTCCTCCCTAGATGCCGAGGGTGAGAGACCCCAAGCTTTATCTTAGGCAGGCAGCCCTTAATCTCAAAGGCAAAAGCCCCTGAATCGCCCAAACTTTGGCCTCCAACCCCTTGTTAACAATTCTGACTGCTTGCTGGATTATGGGCAGTATATGTGAAATCACCTATACACGGAAATAAGGGTCAGAATTCTTGGAGCTGAAAACGTGCCCCGAAAGGGCTCTGTAATGTAAGCAGGGCAGCTGGTAAAACAGGCTGATGAATCTAGAATGTTTGGGAGTCAAAAGAAAAAATTCACACACACAACAAAAGTTGTAGTCATCTGCTATGAATAAAGAGATGAGAATGAGCTGGGGAGATGCTATCAAGGAGAGGAATGTAGCAGAAAGGACTGGACAATATGACTTTCTGGCTTCTGAGCAAGGAGACAGAAAAGCAGCTCGGACATGCCCATACCAAAAACAGAGCAGAATTTTTAAAAATGCAAATACCCCTGTCATAGCACTGCTTATTCCAGAATTTATCAACAATTGCATAACTATATTAGAAATTATGCATTTTTCCTTTGTTCAATTTAAGCACTTACAGACACGTATTCAGGAATAGAAAGTTCATCTTCTGGAAGAGATTTGAGTTTGGCATAGTATTCTTCGCTCAACTCAAGGTCACGCAGGCTACGACGGATATCGCCAGAGCGCTCTCGTAACTGATGATTATTCTTTTCTAGTTGCTTCTGGCGCAATAAGATGGTTTCCATTTCCTGTTTCATTAGTTCTTGATGTTTTCTAGGAAAAGAGTGGTTTGTGATTTACCTAAAAGAACTTATCCTACAAAGACGGTACCTTTAATTCTTCCCAGTCTACTCCCGTTCATAGAGCAACCATTATTTTGATTATATTTAAATAACACAGGACATGTAAGCCTGAATTATTTATGCTCTTTTACCAAGATAAAGACAAATGTACTTTTTTTTTTTTTGCTTTTAACTGTAAAAAAAAAGCCAGCATGATTTTAAAACTCAGTGCTAATATTTTCAACTTAATTGATCCAAAGAGAGCGTGGCGCCTGAGTTTCAGGCAAACAAGGCTACTGCGATTCCTGCAGAGCAGAAGTGTGCAATGCAATTCTACGCATGCTTATTCAGAAATAAGTTCTGTGGCCTATTCTGCAGAAAGCAGGCACGGGAGGAGAGCCTAATCCGCAATGGTCAGGACTTGAATGCAAGGCTTACCCCTCTAAAAACCACTGCCAAGATGAAAACATCACATTTCATGAAATATGTTTGTTTTTTCAACGCGCTGCTTCTACCGTCCTTCAGTGATAACCTGGCTATATCTTAAAATCAACTCACTGTCTGAACAGCTGATAAACCGAATACATGGAATGGTTCAGAAAAACACCAAAGCACCTTTCAACTCGCTCCTCCTCCTCCTCCTCCTCCTCCTCCTCCTCCTCCTCCTCCTCAGACACAGCAATAGCCATGCACGATTCTTTGCCCAAGAAACCAATTGGCAGTTCGTCCTTAACTGGAAAACCAGAATTTGGAAGTTAACCCTGCCTTCCAAGCCTAGTTGGTTGGGCTAAGACAAGCCACAGCTTTCTGGTCTGGGAATATGGTTTGCCCAAATGAGGAAAAGGGAGGGGGCAAAAATCTCCAGGAGAGCAAAGGAGGGAGCACACCAGGTGATGTCCCAGCCAGGGCTCTGAATGCATTCTTCTTCAAAGATCTGGAATGCAAGTATGTAACATAAAATCGGGACAGCCCCTTTTGATTTAGCTCCTGATTCTAAATTTGATTTCTTCCTTTCCATACCTAGCATCTTCTTGCTGTAACGCCAGCTGGTTATCTAGTCGTAAAGAGAGTAGTTGTTTCTCGTGGACTGCATCGTTAAGCTTCTCTTCTAGTTCTTCAATCTAAAGCAACAATTCAATAACAGAAAAGAAATAATGATTTATTAAAGTGAGCCCAATTTAGATCTGTACAAGGTCTGCATTACTGGAAAATGAGAGAAAATACAGACTTTATTATAATTCCTTAAATGTATCGGTCTTCCACACAACATTAACAAGAAGAGATGAATTATTTAGCTAGAATCTAGTTTTGCAAGCACTGCAAGATAACTTAATTTAATATTTATTTATTAATCAAACTTGTATGCTACCGCAACCACAGGACTTTCAGCGGCTCACCAGACAAAGAAATACAGTACAATAAAACAGAATAAAGATAAGGCAAATAAAGCCCAAACACAACATATGGCATTAGGCCCCCAAACCCTCTGGAAAAGCTCCATCTTCAGTTGTTTCTGGAAGGCACACAGTGTGGGCGACAGTTGAATCTCCATGAGGAGGATGCTCCACGGGGCTGGCCCCACCATTGAAAAACAACATTTCTGGGACATTGCCCTCTGGACTTGATGGAAATGGGGAACCAGCTGCTTCTCCTGGTATGATCAATGTGGATGTGCCAATTCTAATACGATGTATAGTTCGGCATCATCAGCATATAACTTTCTAATGTCTGGTTTTTATAACTTTTAATTGTATTTCTGATTTTAGTTTGTTGTAAGCCGCCCAGAGTCCCCTGTTGTGGG